GCCCATGAAAAGGGTGTTGACCCACAAGCTGGTAGTAGGCATGCTTAAGTTCGAAGTCATTTCTCTGAAAGGCAGGAGGGTGGATTGCAGCTCTATTTGCATAGAACTGATCTGGCCTGTTGTAATCTCCTAGGGTCCTCTGTTGGAAACGCCCAGCAGAATCTCCAGCAGCTTATTGTTGCACATTCTGCGCAACTGGTGGCACAACCTGTTCCTCAGTTACAGCGTCATCCTCATCTATCCTCTGCCCATCCTCATTTCATATGTTTCCCTCTGTCAACTAAATGTCCCTCAGCATCTGTCCTCAAAACAATCGGTCCAACCATCTTAGTCTGCTTCTTGGCTTTCTGATGGTTCTTTCCAACTTGGCGAGTTCGTCGATACCTAAAGTCACAAGCTCTTTGTCTTTGTTGCTTCGGGTACTGCGATTATGCATACACCTGAAACAGACAGCAGAGAAGTAGCAGAAAGTTAGCGAAAATAATGTAAAAGCTTAGTCAAATTCTAAAACTAAAAATCTGAAAGTAATAACTAAGTCCCCGGCAACGGCGCCAAAATTTGATATGCTCAAATTAACCCTTAGAGCTACTCTCTCAAATTAAGAGATCACTGTAGTACTTAGGGATCAAATCCACAAAGACTTAAGACTATTACTCAACAGACTTCAGATTCAAATATAGCTAAGGGATCGATAACAAATAAAACCTAATAGCAAATGAAAGTAACAAGAGCAAGAGCGGATTATGGGTTTTTAAAATCAATGAGACAAGGCGCTAGGCAATGGGAAATTCGCAGGTTGACACAAATCACAGACTACAGGCTGAAAGGATTATTTGTTAAAACCGTTCTGGAACTCGAAAACACGAATGTAAAACCAATCAACTTCCGTCGCAGAGATTATCTATGATCAGATTCTAGAATTCCAAATTTCTTTGCAAATTCTAACAACCTAAGCAAACATTATGATTCAGGTTCGATATGTTCATAAAATCACTAATCCAAATTCCTTTGCAATCAGTTATTTTGCTCATCTAAGACAGTTCTGGTGATTAATAATGTTCCACATCTATTAAACAACCTAAGATCTGATTTCTAGGTGATCAATCTTAAAACCAGTATTAAAACAATCTAGATGAAGAACCAAATGATTTATCCTTCCAGTTTTGCAGTTCTAACAATTCATTATCAACCTTTGAATAAGCCAAAATCTAACTAGCAAATTACTCAGACATAGAAATTGAAGCACAAATCATGACTGAGTAATATTGCATTAAAAGATAGAGTAAAAGATAAAGGGGGTTCGAAATTCTTCTCTAACAGAGTACGGATTTGTCTCCCCCAAAAGCTCTGAATCTAATCTCTCTCTTAGTCTCAATGAAAAACAAGATGCATGCCTAACAATGGCTTTCAAGACCTAAATACATCTCTAAACACGAGTGGGCAATATTGCAAATAATAGGAAATTTCTAGGCCAAGTTGTAATTCTTCAAAAGAGTTTTTAAGCTCCTTTACGCGTGAACGGTGTCGATTGACACCAAGGTGTGGTGTCGATCGACACCATGCTCCAGAATGCTCTCTGACTTGGTCTTTTCAGCATCAGCTTCAACATAGCTCCAAAAGGCTCCAAAATCCACAATTATGCTCCAAATGTACCTAGACCTGCAAAGACTCGAAAGGACTCGAAAAATACCAAAAACTCTATAAACAGGACTTATATCATGGTCAAAACCCCATAAAAACCATGATATATCACAAAACTAACCTGCAAGAAGTCTACTTTTGTTTTGGAGAAATCTACTTTTCTTGTTTTTTTTTAAAATGAATTTTTATACAATACTGTATATAACGAATTTTTAAGATTTTCGTGATCCTAAGCTTCTGTTAGTAAGTGTTCTTGTCTATGTATAATTTTTACATCTTTATATTTTATAGTTATGGTCGAATCAGTTTTATGTTTTATAAGATACTTAGCTTATTGGTCGCAGACTTCTCTAGGAAGTCTACTCGAGAAGTAGACTTCATCCGACTTTCAGAGAAGTCTACTTATTCAAATTTTTGTAATAAAACTTATTTATCTGTAATTAATGACAAATAAAACTTCTTTTAACTCTTGAGTTTGTGTTAATATTAATTTTTTATTATGTATGAGTTTTACATGTTTTTTTTCTTATAGTTAAAATTTAATTAATCTTCTTGTGTTATTAGGGGTTCAAAGATGTTGATGACTAAGTAAGATGTCAAAGAAGAAATATGGTGATTATTGAGTAAGATGCCAAGGAAGATGTCTAAGTAGGAAGTTTACTTCAGAAGTCTATGTAAGAAGTATAATATGTAATATAAATCTATTGAGATAAACTTTATATTATGTAATATAATTATACCTGTGAAGTCTACTAGAGAAGTCTAATTGAGAAGTATAAATATAAATTCTGACAGTAAAGTCTATTTTGTAGAATACATAAACACAAACAATTTAGGAATATAATATAAAATATTCAATATAATCCAACATTACATATAAAATAACCCCCTAAACAAACAAACATTTAAGTGTCACTGATTATAAATCTTAAAATTGGCATACGAAATCACTACTAAACTAAAATGTCTGAAAAATATGTCTGCAACTGAAGTCTACTCGAGAAGTCTGCAATTGAAGTCTACTCGAAAAGTCTGCTCAAGAAGTCTACTCGAGAAATCTGCTTGAGAAGTCTACAACTGAAGTCTGCTCGAGAAGTCTGCTCAAGAAGTCTGCTCAAGAAGTCTGCTCAAGAAGTCTACTCGAGAAGTCTCCTCGAGAAGTCTGCTCGAGAAGTCTGCTCAAGAAGTCTGCTCGAGAAGTCTGCTCAAGAAGCCTGCTTAAGAAGTCTGCTCAAGAAGTCTGCTCGAGAAGTCTGCTCAAGAAGCCTGCTTGAGAACCCTACGGCTGAAGTCTGATTCTGACTAATGGCGCCGTATAATTAACGTTTTGAACCTTTAAATCACTTAAATCTGGCGGAGACAAGCAAGAGCTTTGTTGAGATCTGTAGAACAAAACCAGAAATATAAATAAGGTCACATCTGCAACACTAAGAAAAGAGAAATGTTGAAATTTAGATTTGCAACAAAATCTACTATATTTATAAAATTCAGATCTGCAAAAAAATCAACAAAATCCAGCTTCGTAACAATAACAAAAAAATTTAGATCTGTAGGAAAATTCTGATCTGCAACAAAATTCAGATCTACAACAAAATCTACAATATTTATACAACAATAAACTCAGATCTTCAAAATTAAACTCAGATCGATAACAATATGCACAAATCTATAATAATATGCTCAGATTTGCAATATGAACACAAACAAAAAGAGGAACACAAAGCTCAGATTTGCTTACCACTACCATAACCAGCAAGTGAGAGGAGGTTGAATGCGAGATAGAGAGGATGGAGAAGAGATTGACAGTAAGAGAGGAATGAGAAGAAATTCAAGGCCAGAGAGGAGGGAGAGGAGAGAGAGGCATTTTTTGAGATAGAGAGAGACTTTATTTTTAACACAATTAGGTTAAACTCTCCTTATATATGTAGAAAAAAATTCGTTTAAGTAGACTTCTTCTTGAAGTCTACAAATGAAGTGTACTGGAGAAGTCTTCTTTTTGAAGTCTACTGGAGAAGTCTGCTGGAAAAGACTAATTCGGCTTGAGAAGTCTACAAAAAAGTCTACTTTGGTTTAAGAAGTCTACTCGAGAAGTCTACTCAGGAAGTCTGCTTAACCCTAAACCCTAAATCAATTTTTTTATTATTAAAACTAATATAAAACATTAATTTACTTACCATATTGACAACCACAGTTAAAATTACAAATATATGAACCCTGATTCATTAACCGAACCATAAACTATGATTCATATAGAATTTGTGCAAACCCTAAGAATAACATTCTTATACCCTAAACCTCGACCCTAACCTTTTTGAATTGTATACTCATGAAACTTATAAATTGATTCATTTTCATGAAATTTTATTTTATATATATGCTAATTGTCTATGTTTAGTTATGTATCTAATGTTTTTTATCAAACTATTTTTATGATTTTTTAAATTAAATCTAAAGAATTTATTAGAGAGTAGACTTACTAGAGAAGTCTACTTCGTATTGGTTTCTAACCTAATTTTTCTATGTTGATTTAAATTATTCTTTTTGTATCAAATATTTTTTTAATAGATGAAAAATGTATATGTTTTAGTTATGTATCTAATTTTTTTTATCAAACTATTTTTTATAATTTTTTTAATTAATTCTAAAGAATAATAGACTTCTCTGGGATAAAATAGTAATTGGGCTGGTGTTTTATTTGGTCATAAGGGTTAATGTTGTAATTTTACTACCATTGTGAGTTACTTTGGTCAAACATGCAATATAGGATCTAGTTTTGCATTCCAAAACAAATTTTGAGTTATTTTTAGCAATTTTTCCAATTTGTTAAGGACAAAAAATAAATAAAAGAGTTAGTTTACAAACTTTTGAGATATTAAGTTATTTTGTCAAGTGTATTGTCAAAAATGATCAGTTTTTTTAATTCACTCTATTTTTATCTAGAACTAAGCAACAATTATTTATTATTGCTTTATTACAATTTTTTTTTAAAAAATAAAATTTGATCTTGAATGGAATTTATTACTTTAAACTCTAAAAATTCGAAACTCGAACTAAATTGAACCAAACTGAACTGTATTCTAACCCCAAATGAGACTTGTTTTTTAAAATCTGAAGATACCGAAACTCGAATAATCCAAACCAATCCATATCGAGTAACCGAATGCCCGCCCACCTTTGTATTTAGCGTTGTTTTGTTAGCATTCTTTTCTATTTTGTTCCTAGGAGATACCTTGGTTATGGGGAGCAAAAAAGTGCAGGAGTTTAGCTTTATTGTTTAGACAAGCAAAGAATCTCTTAAGGTTTAAGCAATCTTCAACTATAATAATAACTCTTTACTCTCTACTTTAAACATCACACACACATCACTCTCTTTAAAACAACCAAAACAAGCAAACAATGAAAATCTTGATTCTACTTATAACACTCATAGTAATCTCAGAGCTTTGCGCTGTGGATGCATGTCGATCATATTGTGGAAACATAACCGTGGATTATCCGTTTGGAATCCGAAATGGATGTGGGCATCCAAGTTATAGAGATCTCTTGTTTTGTATGAACGATGTGTTGATGTTTCACATAAGTTCAGGTTCTTATAGAGTCTTGGATATTGACTACGCGTATCAGTCCATAACGCTGCATGATCCTCATATGTCGACTTGCGAGACCATTGTGCTCGGTGGCAAAGGCAATGGCTTTGAAGCTGAGGATTGGAGAGCTCCTTACTTCAATCCTACTTCTGATAATGTCTTTATGCTGATTGGATGTTCTCCTAAATCTCCTATTTTCCAAGGTTAGTTGTAATAAGTTACAATAACACATAGATCACTAAAAAAAACAAAGACAAATTGTAGTTTGATAATGTTGGGCTAGAGAATCCGGGTTATAATTTGGTGTGACTTTTTACCAAATTTTCATTTTTTTTTTCTTTTTGGTTTATACAAAGGAAAGCTAGATAAGGGGTGTATTTAATCTATAATTTGTAATCACTTATACTAAAATAATAAATCTTATGAAATTAATAAGTTTCAAAAATATTGTCATTAAAAATATCTTAAAAAGGTTATTTTTAATTATTTTAATGTGTTTTTGTGGAAAGTTTTACTTTTAAAAAAAAATTCAAAATCTAATGGTTTGAAGTGAGATTGCAAAAACTTCTGATAACAAATCATAATAGTTTTTCCTAACACATTCAAAATAATCCAAAACTCATTAAAACTAAAAACTTTCGATATATTTGGTTTAATACATTCCCAAAAGACTATTTGTAATTTCTAAGTCAGTTTGTTTGGATGCAATTTAGGTTTGGTTTGTTTTGTATTTGGCTTGGGTTTATATAAAAGAATAACTTTAAAATACTATATAATTTAATTTTTTTTAAAAATCTATTAAAAATGGTTTATTTGATTCAGTTTCGTTTGGTGCACTAAGATTTTTTCCGGTTTGGTTTTTATTTTGATGGTTTCTATATAATATAATCAAATTTGGTTATTTCGGTTCGGTTTCACTTTAATCCGTTTCAGTTCGGTTTTGGTTTTTGTATGGTTTATAAATAGTGAACAAAACCAAATTATAAACACACTTAGATTTGGTTACGATTTACATTTGTATTCGGATCCAGTTAAATATGGTTAAACTTGGTTAACTTCCCACTCCTATTGGTTAGGCTTCCCCGAAAAGAAACTGCCATGTCGCAACATCTCTGGAATGAGCTGCGAAGAATACATGTCGTGTCCAGCATGGGACATGGTCGGATACAGACAACCGGGTCTATCGTCCGGGTCGGGTCCACCCATGTGCTGTGGGATCGGATTCGAATCCGTAAAAGCGATTAATTTAAGTAAGTTGGAGTGTGAAGGATACAGTAGTGCATACAATCTTGCACCGTTGAAACTTAGAGGACCTTCTGATTGGGCTTATGGTATACGAATTAAGTACGAGCTACAAGGAAGTGACTCGTTTTGTCGTGCGTGTGTTGCAACCTCCGGGACATGTGGCTACGAATCTGCCGATGGTGGTGGGCTTAGGCATGTTTGCATCTGTGACCACCACAATTCTACCACAAACTGTGACTCAGGTTTGTATAATCAGTTTTTTTCTCCTTAAAAGTATATTATGATGGATTTATCTATATTCAAACGTTCTTTTTTTCGGTAAAATTATTTCATTAATTTTAAAAAAAGAATGCAAAATTATTATAACACTACTTAGAATTCTCATATACGCGGATTTAGAAATTATTTTAAAACTTGCAAAACTACTTATTATATAATTGATTAAAAAAACTAGCTTTCTTTTCCACATTTATTTTTATATTTTTCATATTGAACATAAAATTTAGGTAAATTTTATAAGAGCATTTCCAATGGTCTTTCAAATTCCACATTTTTCATATTTTCCTATGGTATTTTCTTCATATTGTTTTTGTAGAAAGTATATGGAGCAAACAATTGGAGATAATCTTACTTCTATTTCTTCTTCATTTTTTTAATAAATGAAAAAAATCATTGTAGATGACATAAACCAAACATAGGCTGAAACAATAATTAAATAATGCATTCTATCATGTTCAACATGTTCAACGTTTGTTACTATTAACTATAAATAAGATCGGAAAAGTTTGAACTGATATACTGGATTATAATATTTGACTTATTATAACCACTGCAAATGGGAGTAATTATAGAAATGCCAAATGTGCATGCACATACAGTTTTCTTATCAAATTCATTATTTTGCCTGTGGTTTAAAGCCGTCGTAGACAGATCACCTAAGCGCCAGTCGCCACGGTTTTGTGTAAATTGGTCACAAAACGGTCAAGTGGTTGTTCAAACGCTTAAAAGCTACATTAGTTAGACGTTTAGTCCAGTGGACCGGTTTAGTGTTTAGACCAACTTTTATAACTACTCGAAAGTCGTTCTAATATCATCTAAAAGTTTATGATTTTCTATGTTTATGTAGTTATAACACCAACCGTTGCATCTTCAAGTGTTCGACCAAAAACAATTGGATGTAAGTATCAATATGGATTACGTGTTCCCTTGTTTTTGTTAGAAAAATATTTTATTTTAAGCTCAGTTATTACCTTTTTTTTGTTTTTGCAGCACTGATCTTCTGCTTCATCACAATGAACATAAACTTTCAGAGAAGAGTTACCCATTGAAATTAAATATCGAACTAAGCCTTCCATTATTAACCGTTGCTTAATTTCTCATACTTTTAATTTCATTGTATGAAACTATTATGAAACGTTTTTGTGTATACTCCCACGAAATTTTGATTTGTATACCAAAACTTGTAGACCGTCAACTGTATTTATAACTACTCGAAAGTCATTCTAATATCATCAAAAGATAGACCGTCAACTGTATTTTATAACCTTATAAAAAATATGATGTAAACTCTCTTTTCTCCAAAGCAGCCGTCAACTGTATCTTTCCGGTAGCCTGCGTTTGGCTGCCTCTTCAGAGCCGGCGCTGGCCTATTTCTTTTGTTTTTCTGGTGGTCGGTAGTTATGGAGCAAATCTATCTTTAGGGATACCATTGATTATATTATATAGAAACGCTTAGTCTATCATATTTTGACCTCAGTCTATATTTAGGGATACCTGATTCTACAAATCAATACCAGATTGATCAAATGAACATGTTAGTTGATTTAGTGATAGCTGAACTCTAGGCTTCAATTGTCAGTTAAAAAACAACTATCACTCAAAACTTTGCAAAACTGATGATAGTCGACTTGGTTGTTTTCAATTCTTTTTCATAACTAAGCAGATGAAAATCAAATAGACGAACCTCTTTTAAAGATAGATGATTTTTATAAATGATAAACTGATTTATGATATTCATAGTAAACTTCAAATGGTTAATAAAAAGGCTGATTCATAGCTGATTCGAAAAACAAAGAGGTAGTTATAATCTTCATATTAAAATGTTAAGTCTATCTTTAGGGATAGCTAATTCTATAAATCTATACCAGATTGATCATCGAAATAAACATGTTCGTTGATTTAGTGATAACAGAACTCTAGGCTTCAATTGTCACGTAAAAAACCAATCCCTAATAACTTTACAAGGTTGATGATGCTATCATGTAGTCGATTTGGTTGTGAAAGATATTTTTTCATAACTAAGCTGATGAAAATCAAATAGACGGTCCTTTAAAGATAAATGATTTTACAACTGAAAAACTGATTTATGATATTCATAGTGAACTTAAAATGGTAAATTAAAAGCTGATTTATACCTGATTCGAAAGCACAAACATCTGGTTTCTAATCTTCATATGAAAATGTAAGTCTATCTTTAGGAATAGATGATTCTTCCAATTAATACCAGAAATGAACATGCTAATTCCTTTAGTGATAGCTGAACTCTAAGTTTCAATTGTTATTTAAAAAACAATGATCGCCAATAACTTTGCAAAATTGATGATGCTACCATGTAGTCGACTTGGTTGTTGTCCAATTCTTTTTTCATATCCATGGAGATAAAAATCAAGACACGAGCGTCCCTCAAAGATAAATGATTTTACAATTGAAAACTGACGTAGGAATTCATAATGAACTTGATTAATTAAAAGCTGATTTATAGCTGGTTTGTAATTTTCATATGAAACTATTAGTCTGTCTTGACTCTTGAGTGATAGCTGATTCTACAAATCAAAATATCAGATTGATCATCAAAATGAACAAGTTAGTTGATTTAGTGATAACAACGGAACTCTAAACTTTGATTGTCACTTTTAAATCAGTTATCACTGATAACTTTGTAAATGTCTGACCAATTTTCTCTTCTTTATGCAGTTATTTATCAGATTTATTATGCACTTGTTATGATAGCGATACGTATGTTTTTTAATATCTATAAAAAAATGAAGAAAAGACAAACTATCAAAATTTATCTTAATGATTGGAAATGCTGACTTCATCATCATCTCTGGGAGGGCTGCAATGGTTCAATTTTCTCATTAACTTTAAAACACATGAACAATATAATATTTTAGTTAAGACATTGATGTTTAAATTTAAATCCAAGTAAGTTTCACACTGAAATAGTTGTACTAGATTGACGTGGAGTTTAAATGGCATTTACTCAATTCAGAGGGGGGCACATCAAGTTTATATACACCCTCTGTTTTTGGTGCAAATTTGTTGCATTTACAAGCTTTTGGAGAAGCAAGAGGACAAGGCAGAAACATGGAGGACAGTGATAAACTTTGGGTTTTTTTTTGTGGATTGCAGTAATCTTGTTTTTTTTAAGCCCTCATTTTATGGTTTTGGATTGTTTATTTGGTGAGGAATCAGCTAAACCCGTATGTCTTTCGTCACTACAATTGACCAAGATTATTTAAACTAGCTAGTTTGTTTTACTAAGTTTTACGTCTTGTGGTCTTGTTTATTATCGCAACTCCATGAAAGTATGAGTAATAAGGCGTGTGTTCGCTAGAGTAATAAGTGGTAGAGTATTAAGTCTTAATAAGTCTTGTGGTCATGTTATACTATTGACTCTGAAAATATGATTAATATGCCTATCTTAGTATTTTGCTAATTCTGATGTATCTGCAGATTACCAAAACCCTTGCTAAATGAAGCACGTAAAGTCCGTATTAGAGATATATAAAAAGATGCAATCCAAAATAACAATTTCAAATTGAACATTTTTACTCTCACAAACAAACTTACAAAAGCTTCAAGTTAATAGTTTCATCAATGTACGTACTACTCTGAGTTAGGATCCAAGCGTCTTTAGTTGAAACCCATACTCGATACTCAAACCAGAGTAACGCTACTTAACGATACAAACTTAAAGCCAAATTCACAAGGATCCAAAGAGCATGCGAGTTAGGATCCAAACGTCTTTGATTGAAATACTTGCTACAAACAAAAGAAAAGCATTTGGATGCTGAAACATAAAACCCCTAAGAACAATGCATGCACAAGCAGCCATGAATTATCAGTTTATCACAACACACTTTCATGGCAGCTAATGCATCCAATGTTACTTCACTACTCTCTCCTACGCAAACTAAACCATATTAACAAAACAAAACAAAAAACAAATTAAACATAAACAAAACCCACCAAGCATTCATGACGGGTCTTTGCATGGTCATCCAGCGACCGACCATGTGAAACTTCCACCACTTTCGGTACACTCACACCACTAAACCGGTTTAGTGATCATACGATCTCGACGGTGGCGTCAGAGGAAACTTGATTATTCTGCTCTTTCAACACCCTTTTCCTAACTCCGTTAAGCCATTTGGCGAATCCCAAAACGACGTCGTAGATGCTCAGAGCAAGATATATACCAATACCAGCAATAATCCCATTAGCAATGGAATAAGTCAATGGCATAAGCAAGATCGTTACAAACGCCGTAACCGCTTCTTTAGTTTCTCCCCATCTAATATCTTTCACAACTCCCATCATCATCACACCAACCATCACTAGCGAGGGCCCCACCGCCCACCTAGGAACGTTAGTCACTAACGGCGTCAAAAACATCGACGCTAAAAAATACATACCGACGATAACGGCCGTTAGCCCCGTTTTCCCTCCTTCTTTTAATCCCGCCGAAGATTCAACGAAAGTCGCCGTCGTCGTAACCCCTAAAGCGGACCCCAACACGGAGGAGCCGGCGTCCACTAAGTACGCCGTGTATTCTCCTTCGAATTTCCCGTCCTCCTCCACAAAGCCTCCGATCTCGGCCATTGTGTAGAGCACTCCCGTCGTGCCGAGGAGGTCTACGTAGAAGAGTGTAGCGAACGCGACCCAAACCTCGCTCTTTCTAAACTCCGTGAAGCTTATAGCTCCTAACGTTGACTGGATCTTGTGAAAGTCAACGACTTTTGTGAAGTAGTTGTAGTTTGAGTCTCCGAGAGGAGTGTGAGGAAAAGTTGTGACTTGAGTGTTTCTAAACCAAGAAACAACGGTAACGAACACGATCCCGTAAATCATACTACCTTTGATGTTCTTCATTAGACCGTAGCTCGTTATGAGAAACCCTACAACCGCTAAGTAAAACGTAGGACTCTCCATTTTCCCTCCGAAGCACGCTCCCGTGACGGGATCCGTCTCTGAGCAGGCGGTCAACGTTACAAGAGTTGACTTATCGGGTCCCACGAGCCCAACACCTTGGTTCATCTGCAAACCAACAAAGGCGATGAACATTCCAATACCGACCGCGCAGGCCAGTCTCACCGTCTGAGGGATAAGACGAGCCAGTTTTCCACGGAGTCCTAAAGCAGACACCGAGAGAAACGCGCATCCTTCAAGAAGCACGATGGCCATAGCGGTATGGTAAGATATCGAACCCGAACCGCGAAAACCGACCACATTGTATGCGATGTAAGCGTTTGCGCCCATTCCTGGAGCGAGTCCGAAAGGGAGATTAGCTAACAACCCCATTGCTAATGAACCCACCATGGCTGATAAAGAAGTGGCCACAACAAGATCCTTTTTGACCCTAATAAGACATTCTTCGTAGCCTTGATTTGAGCCAAGGACGCAGTCAGGTTTAGGTGGTGAAGAATCAGCGACGGTGGAGCAGTCGTGGAAGGAGCATGTGGCGCCGGAGTCAGTAAGGATGGTGGCATTGACGGTAATGATGTAAGCCATGGTGAGGAATGTGGCCGTTGCAGCTCGGAGTTCGGTTGTGAAAGTTGTTTTTCTTGCTTCCAGCTTGAAGTAACGACCGGGACCGCTCTTGGAAACGATGTCGTTTAGGTGTTTCTTCATTTCGCTCCATGGTTTGCAAAATTTCTGTTCTCTCCCCATGACTAGAAGACTAAAACAAGAGGGAAGAAAGAAAACAATGTGAGGATTTAGGGAGGAAATGCAGGAAGACGATGTCTATATATATGTGTGAACAGAAAGTGAAATTTACACAGTTGACTAGAAACTCAAATATACTTAAAACCCCCCCAAAAAACTAAAATCTTATTTTTTTTCAACTAAGAAAAATTAATCTAAAAGCTCTCGACGACGTGATACTCTCTTGTGTGTGGAGAAAATCTATAGCAGTCTAAAAGCATCTGCATTGGTGAGAGACTATATAATTCTATTATTTTAAGTGAAATTTAGTTTAATAATTAAATTTTAATTTATAAAAAAAAACCAATCATGAAGAAACACATAGTTTGAGAGTCTTTCATTAGTCTCTCATAATCTCTCAAATGAGAGACTCATCTCATTCTTTCTCTTCTCTTTTTAATTTTTTAATTTTTTTTAATAGTGAGAGACTCATCGAAAGATTCCCAGATGGTCTTAGACCATCTCCAATGCTAGTCTCTAATCTAAGTTTCTTATAATAAAAAAATAAAAAATAATATAAAAGTATGAGAGAGGAAGAGAGACAATCTCTACTTTAAG